TTCACATGCAGGTTCAATAATTTTTTTTTTGGTTTTATGGAGCTGATCCAGGCATTCCTGGACGAGGGGGAAATGAAACGACATATTTTATAACAACGCATTTAAATTTTTTTTTTTTATTGCTGTTCATTAGACACCAGGTAGCTAAATTCTGTTCCGTTTGAAAATGTAACCAGCAGAGCTACTTATCAATTGTAAGCTTTATGTTTTAGCTGCAACTGGTTTATATTCTACAATTTTTTTTTACATTTTTTTCATACATAAATTTTTATGATATAAGCATATTTTATTAATGATTCTCGTCAATAAAAAAAAAATGTTAAATTCTTTTTTAATGCACAATTCTTTTCACAACTTATTAAGTTGCATTTTCATTGCAAACAATTATATTAATAAAATTAAGCATAAAACTATCATTAACCATTTGACCCTTTCATACAAGTTTTACACGATTTGCATTACTTTTGATTGCAAAAAATTACCCTAAAAGTTAATAATAATTGTGATTAGTGATGAAAGTAAACTTATACATAATTATTCATTTAAATTATGCAAAGAAGGCTAAGGTATCCGCCCTTTTTATAAAATAGAAAGCCCCTTTTTAAACTTGCTGTCCTTTTTTTTTAAAGTATAGTGCCCTTTTTTTAGTCCAGATTGAACCCTGGTTAAAAGTAATTTTAAAACGCACAATTTTTTCCGTAAGGTATGAAAAGCATATCACTATATATTTTGAGTTTGGACTAGAGCTTTAAAAAGCCAAAACATAACAACTGAAATGAAATCCTGTAATAATAGAAATAATGCCGCGTAAAAGAAAAATCAACGCAAACGGCAAAAAATTCAAAATTGAGATTTTTATATATTTGGTATTTCTGTTGGATCCATTTATTGAAAATTATTCTTCTTTTCTTCTTTCCAAAATTAAATTCTGTTTTATCAGTCATTTTATTTTATAACTGTTGTTTAACAGCCGACCCAATTTTTGGGTGTACGACTGCTAATGTTCAAGGCAGTAGTAGCCTTGTAATTATGAACCCAATCCAGAAAACAAGGAAACTCCTGGATCAAGTATTGGGAGAAATTTGCCTTCCTGGAGGACTTTTATGATGGAACTAACCCGCATTTGAGTAAGATGGGGAGGAAAACCACGAGAACCTCCCACGATTTGTCTGACGACCCATGACCCGTCTACCACTGAGGATATTTCACGTCAGTATGTGGTCATTGCAAGCCGGATGTGGAATTCGTATCGAGCAACCATCGCTGGGATTCGAACTCGGTTCACCTCATTGGAAGGCGAAGGCTCTATCCCCTGAGTCCTTTCAGTTCTATATCATTTATTTGAAGTTCTATTTTATTGCTCATAGTATTAGTAAGCAATAGAAAGAAAATCGTTGTCAAGTCACTTTTCCCGAAATCTACAGTTGGTTACTAAGGCACGTTGTTTTTTTCATTTGCACGGCAGAACAGACACCACGATTTCGTTACCTCTTAACACGCTTGAACATCATTAACCAGTTTCAGTATGAATCCGAAATTACATAGCAGTCAACAACTTTAAAAAAAAAAAAGAAAAAAAGAATGAGGGAGGGATTTAACTTTAGCTGCACGAACAAATAAATTCAAATAAGTAAGAGTAAGTTTATCAAGCAAAATAATTCCTCACACTAACATTAGGTTAAATAAATAATTTTCTCCTTTCAATTGTCTTTTAATCCCCTCTTTTATTAAAGAATTTTTAGATTTTTCTAAAATTCGTCGATCATTTCTGCTAAGAAGTAATTGTATCAAATTACATCAGTAACACTACATTGTAATTCTACTACCCCTACGTAATTCTACATTTTCAGACAGTTTTCTAACAAAATACAATGTGGCATTTTGTCTGTAATCAGTGTAAAATTTATAATATAATTGAGCATATTTATTGACCTTTCTGATATAAACATTATTTACAACAAGAGCTCTAAGTTCAAGAGTATAGTAAATGCAAAACATCTTATTATCACACGATGACAAGTACTAGGAAGATAACATAGTGAATATTGTATTTGTTCTATCTTTTGAAAGCCCGTGGAATGCCGGACAATTATTTACGATCCTAATGCGATAAATAGAATACAGTCCGGCCCATAAAACAAGAAACACGAAAGAGAGATAACCGTGACATTTTCGACGATGGACTCTGACCTCAATATTTTGTTGTTTTTACGCTACGATTTCATAGGATCATTTACGAACAGGAACGACAGCTTACTTGTAAGAGGCGTCGCGACTTTAAAGTGTACACTAAAGTGGCGAAATTAAATAAGAAAATGGAAAAAAACTTAATAGGAATAAAAAATGTTTTGTTTGATACTAGTTTAGTTTAAGACTGTCAAAAAAATTCCTTATTTTTAAAAATTAATCAGGTGCTTTCTAGTTACAAACTAGAATGCTTTTCAAAAAAAAATCATTAAGTTCATTAATAAAATGTTAAATACATTTGGTACTTTTTTTGCTTAGTATTAAAATTAAGTATAAAAAAATTATAAAAACAGAACTATAGAACAGAACATGTTTTGGACGCAGAGAGCGAGTGGTGGGGTAGGCATGAATGAACATTTCTGAAAGTTATACTTTCTAATTTTCTTTACATATTTTTAATGCTCTATCACAAAATTTAAGACAAACTTGAAGAATATTTTCCCCTTAGACCTTCAAGAAACAATTATAGAATATAATAAAAAGTAATTATAATAAAAAGACAAATCTATACACAATAAAACTCTTATTCTCAAAAACCATTCAACTGAATTCTTTCAAATTTTAGATTTGTCATAAACAATTGCTATGTAACATAACTTTTTCGAAGTGACATAAAAAAATATTCGCATTTTATGTAGTGCTACCAATTTAAAAAATAAAGAAGATACTACTATTTTAAATAATGATTAAAAAAAAAAGGAATGTTTTGCAATTCAACCATGACAAATGGTAGGAATAACGCAATAGATTTTTATTCAAACATTTTATTTCTGCCCCTTCAGTGTTCTATCAATGAGCATTAGATTGTATTTGAAGACTTAAGAACAAAAAACATCCTTTATTCTCAGCATTTAAGTTCTAAATTATAAAATTTTCTGCTAAGCAGGGAAAAGTCTTTCATACAAAAACCTTTTTTCAGTTAATACAAATAAAAGATACAGGAAAAAAAAAACTTGTCAATGAAAGTTAATTAGCATATTTTTTTCCGTAATTATCGAATTTAAAAACGAAAGTTTGCAGTTTTTTTTTGTTATTAATGCTTAAATAAAAATTTAAAAAAAATTGTTCTTTTGCTCTCACTATTATATTTAACATGACTAATTTTAAATTTTTTCTTAAAAAAACTTTAATAAGTGATGAAAATTCTGTTTGAATTGCTGCTTTTAATAAATTTAAATCAAAAGCATAATGTATTGTACACATAATTTTTTCTTTCATCTAGCATGATTTTCTCTCTCATTAAGCTGTGCAAATAGAGTATCATTTAGGTAGAAATTAAATTTTATGACAAAAATTTTGAATTTTTAAAATGATGAAAATTTCTGTCTCTCTTTCTGTTATTAAATATACAGAAAAAAAAAAGACATCTTCCATAGGACCTTAAGAAACAAAAATCTCAAACTAGTTAGAAAAAAAAATTGGGTAACATGTCAAACATAAACGTTTCTAAATAATGAAAATTTACAACTACACACTAAAGTAAATAATACATTTATGTTATTATTATATCATTGCAACATAAAGGAATGGTGTAAAAATTTTTATATGTGCTTAACTTTCCAATTAAAAAGGCTTGAGGCCAGTGGTTTAAGACTGCTGTAAAGTTTAATTGTTTCAATTTTTTTAAACCAAATGTAATAAATAAATCTAAGAAATATGAAAATTAAGTTTATGTCAGTTATTAAAACTTAAATACCTTTACTGATTTGTAATGCTATAATAAAAAATAATATTATAAAAATTTTGCTCTTTATAATTTTCATATTCCAACTAAAAATGGATAGTAAATAGTGAAGATCAAAAAAAAAAAAAAAAAAAAAAAAAAAAAAAAAAAAAAAAAAAAAAAAAANAAAAAAAGTAAGCATTGAATTCAGTTTTGACTCCCTTATGGCTAATTATTTATGTTTAAAGCATGTATTTAAAAATTAATACATATAAATTGGATATTGTGTGACTATGATTATAAATAATTATTGATGCAATCTTTACAAATTAAGTTCACTGCAAAAATTGGTTAATGGGAAGAGAAAAAAGAATTAAGTTCCTTGACAAGATAAAAGGAATATAAATAAAGAACAGAATCGAATAAATTTTTAAATAGAGCTCAAAAGAAAAGCCCATAGCACTAAACTGATTACTAAAATATTAATTTTATCTCTATGTGTGAAATAAATGAAGACATCCCTTTACTAGTAAAATCAACATCAATCAGATGACGCTTAGAGTCTAGACTGAATTTAATAGCCTTTACTAATGGAACAATGATCATAGTCAAAGATAACATTGTTTATCACCCTGAAGTTAACAAAAAATATGAATTTAATTCCTTAAGCAATACCAAAAAGTACAGAGAGATACACTTGATTTTGTATAAAAATACATCATCTATATACAATAAAGGATATGGCGCATTAAATAAGATCTAGCCACAATCATAGTAGTTCATATAAGATAATTAAGGAAAAAATTTTAATATTTTTCCCTCAACATTATTTGATATTAATTACAAAATTGCTTATTAAAGGGGCAACCTAAAGATTCAACTTTAAAATAGTTGACTTAAAATAAATAAATAAAAGAAACTGCTTTATTTTAGCCGATGGTCTGGGCCGACCACTGGGCAAAACCGGTCCAGCAGCGAACGTGAAGGAATTCATTATCTGTAACGCCACAACAATTTCATCATTTTACTAGCAGCTAATACATTTATAGATCTACAACTTAAATCTAAAAACATTGATTTATTAACTCACCCTTGTGTGCCACAGTAATGTTGTGTTAAAAAAAATCCAACAAGGGATGTGGATTTAATATCCTCAGTTAACTTAAATCGTACTTGCTGAGTGGTTTACACGATGAGGTTTCAATTGTAATGGCGGCTGCGTAAGAGGACACTTGTTGAACTGGCTAGTTGTTCACGCCCCTTCTAACTTATAGCCAATGGAAATGCGAGATAGGATCATTATTATAGAGAAACATTAACCACAGTGTTGGTGACGTCACAACTCTTTCTGTTCTTTATGATATCTGACGTCATTATTATCGATTCTTTTTTTCTCTTCACTGCTTTCGGTTTGACGAGAAGTGGATATTTACTTTTATTATGGGATGAGATGAAATGGGGGAGAATGGATTTGATGAAAGATGAGAAATCGAGAAAAAGATTTGATGATTATAGTTGCGATTTCTTAAATTTTAATTAATATCGATATTTAGATTTTCTCAAGCTATGGGTTCGGTTTTTGAACATTAAAAGAGGTCTTTTTGAAAGAGAAATGGGTGAAATTTATTTTTGTTTGGAGAAGAGATGGAATGGGAAAGATAAAAATGATTTTAGAGGCGAATTAATAAAAAGCATCGATGATTATTCGTGAGACTTCATAAAATGTTATAACATTTCGAAGATTAAATTGGTATCTTTGCCACAATTTTTAATTTTATATAAATAAATGTATATACATATCTTTCTTATTTTTTTAATGATAAATTCCTAAATATATAAGTACCGAAACATAAAAAAATCATTAAGTTTTTATTATAATTTTATGTTTTCTGTATGTTCTTTATTCAATATTTAAATTAAATAAAATAGTATGAAAGGAATACTATTATAATCAAATATAACATCATTTTCCGCAGACTCAGAAATTATAGAAGATTTATCAGTCACAATTTTTAATTTTTTATTTTTATTATATGGCTCCAAAAAAAAAAAAATTAAAAATAATACAAAAATTACTATTACATTCATTACACTGTTATAAACACCGGGTTCCCTAAAGACTTTCCTTTTGGCTAACATTTTCTTACAACAATTTTTTGGCACTCTATTTATATAAATGTATTGTATTTATATATATATATCTTAATTAAAATATCTTATTAATCTATATCTTAAATATATATCTTATTATCTATAGATCTATTATATCTTATTACTTTCATATCTTAATTAAAAAGGAAGATAATGAGTAAAAAATAGCATAGATTCATATCGTTGACAATCGTTAAAAGAACAAAACTATCAACATTTCTCACGTGCTATCATTTAGCCAATACAAATTGATATCATTTGTCTTATGCCATCATTTGTCGACAACTCTTTATAAAAATTGATAGTTTCTATAAATTTTACACAAAATTAATTTTTTTTGAAAGTTGATAAAATTTAAAATATTTCTACTTCATCTACATTATTAATTTGTTTTGCTAGTTAAATTAAAAAAATATAAATTCACTTTTACAAAAGCAAAAAAAAGTGACATTTTCGATTGTCCTAATTGAATAGTTTTATTTTTCCACAGAAATTTTTGAATACCTTTTTTTTACGTTTCGAATTTATGATCCTGGTTGTAGCTTATGTGTATTTTGAAATACAAAGTTGTTAAAATAGAAAAAAAAAAAAAAAAATTCAGTACACTCTTGTATTTATGGTATGACAATCGTTCGGCGTGAGCGATTTTCCATCCATTCCTTAAAAAATTTCTTCCGCATATATATAAAGTCGCATACACATCCTATCAGCTACTTGTATATTATATCTGCGATGATGATTCTTTTTTCAATATTTGATGATTCTTTTGAAAAAAAAATGTTTTCATCTTTATTCAGTAAAGTCAAGCTGCAAGGAATGTATAGAAAATCACTTATGCCGAACTAACGTCACATCACGAACACATAAGTACTTACAGCAAGATTTTTTAAGAATTTTAGAAACTTCTCATGTTTTTAAATTCTTGAAAACTTGAAGAAATTATAAAATTTTGACATTGTTCTTGAATTGAAAGTTACGTTAGACATTTGTAGATTTTTAGATTAAGGTATAGGTTTCTCGTGACCTCAAATTTACTAAGAGATCTCATCAGGAGACGCGAATTGCAATCTAAATAATTAAACTTAAAAACATATTTACTATAAAAATTGCTAAAGGATACAATGAGTCTGAAATAAATTATTAATATATTGATTACACTCAACTGAAATATTTTCTGATAAAAGAAAGTCTCCGTAGGAAAATACATGAAGTCAAAATTACTGTGGAATTCCTCTCATTGCAAATCTTTCGAATTATTTTATCATTAGTATTATTTTGTGAAGTCTCATTTTCGAAAAAGTTAGCAATATTGAGATAAGTTTTGTTTGGAACAGCAACTAAACCACAGGTTACAGACGTATTTTTTTATTATTTATTATTTTATATTTGTGAGGTTGAAAATTGAATTTATAAGAAGATTGGATCTCGCTCTACAAATGTTAAAAAAATATCCAGTCTAAATAGTGAAAATCTCTCCACAAAAAATTATTTTTCATTTTTCTAACTTTAGAGGGAAAAAAAGTATTTAAAAGAATAAATGTGTCCCCTTAAAATGGCTTGAACTCTACCCTCCCCCCTGTAATCGAATAAATCGTCATGTCGATAAATTTTTTTCCTTTCGTAAATAATAGTTTGTGACCCACAATGTGTACACTTTTTATTCTTAGGAGGTTTTCTAAAAACATATACTAAGGGCAGTCATTACGGAATACCCTACATTATGATTTCTATAATCAATGTAAGGATAAATTGAATACATATATAATATTAATATTTTGAACATACTACTTAAATCACCTCAGAAAATTTAAATTCCTCAGATAAACTAGGGTCAAACTGATTACGATGTGCTGCGATGATTTTTCCTGTGGTTCTCTCCGTTTCTTCTCCGCTAGTTTTAGTTTATAAAATGATTAGTTGCGTAATGCCGTTACTGTTAAGCGCAGTTTAGCAGATTCCGGCCATTATGCCACTATGTTCCATATTCAATTCAACAAAATAAATAAAGTAGAAGATTATGAAATTCTGATCATTATTTATAAAAATTGTAATTAACATAACGAGAAAATGATATCTGCATTTAAAATCAATGTAAATTTAAAAGAAAATATACTTAAAACTGCTAAAACAACAACATAATCATTCCAATAAAAAACTTTAATCGTAATAATCATTAATAACGTTAGAACAATTTCCTGCATCCCGCTGCGCGGCAAGTGAGGATGATTTATTAGTTGCCCTTGAAATAATATTCAAAACTTTCGCTCACCTCTATCTGTACTTCCTCTTCCAATGCCTGATATTATTAATTACAGCACAATAGCAAAGATAGAGTAAGGAGGGAAAAAAGATTTACTTTAACAAAATCACGATTAACGTTTTAATTTAGTGATTTGATAGTTGCCGCGCTTTTGTCGTCACTGCCGTTTTCCTGAACGCAGGAAGGTGACAAATTTAGAATTTTTTTCCCTACTTACCCCAACAGGGTTATTTCTTATGAAACTCGCCAACTAACGCCAAATATTATTTTCTTAGCTGTGACAGAATGGAAATATAATAGCAAAATTAAATAATCATATTTTCATTTCACACCAAAATATTTTTATTTATGGAAAAATTAATTCTTTAATCGATTTATTTAATTTTTGTAAATCAACAATATGTTTCCGTTTTATGCTCTTTAAAATGTATATCTTGGTGCAACAAACAAAATAGAAATTTAAAGTTTTGTGATAGTTGAAGATAATTTTTTTTAAAGTTATCGAAATATAAAATTTTTTTAAACAAATATATGGCTGAATGAGTTTTACCTGTCTAGAGATTATAACATTTCAAAAATAAATAAATAAATAAAATAAATAAATCAATAAATAAATGAAATATATAAATAAATAAATCAAACCTGGAAAATCTTGACTTGTTAGTGACAATTTGTTCTTGTTCGTAATCGAAACTTTTATAATTTTAGAATGTTTTGGAACTCAATAACTTGTAGGAAAATCTTTCGAATCCAAAAATCCCAAATTTTTTGCCCCATGGGACATTAAATCAGAGCGTCTACCTTATTTTACTGATTTTTATTATAGTTACCATTATCTTATTAATGGTCAAATAAATTAAGAATTGTTCTAATTTTGCTAAATTTTATATCTTCGTGTTTTCTACGACGGGAAACTTTATAACTAATGCCTGACTAATATTCGAAATCGAATAAACCGAAAACTGCGAAAATTATGACTATTATGAGACAGAAAATTTTGTTGAGTGAAAATTCATGCCTGATGCATCCAATATGTGGCCACGTGAAACAATCTTGCAATATGTTTTAAAGTCGAAATACATTTTCTGTTTTGTTTAATTAGTTTAGTTGATGCATGTAATTTTGGTGAAAACGCGATCTATTAATTATGTTTAATATTCTTATATTTTTAAATGAGTCGTCGCTATTTCACCCGATATATTCCTTTTTGTTAAATACGGAGAATAACACTTAAATTTAGAGACATTTTTATTATATCTCTTTTGTCTAACTCTCATAATTATTTTTAAATTCAGTATTTCGATTAAAGGTATTGTTATAAATTAGTATCCAACGTAAAAATAATAATAATAATGATATTAAAATTAATAATAATACAATTCTTTGTCTTTCCCGAAAACAGTGCGTTCTTTGTGATGGCAAGGTACATTATTTTCTGTCGATTAAGATATTCATAGTGAAAAATGAAACTCAATTATAATTTTTAATTATTTTTATTATTCTAAAGATGTATTTCTTGGAGAAAAAATATGAAAAAAGTTTCGACAATTCGAATGAAACACATATAGTTTTCTTTCTTTTTTTTTTTTTTGTCAAAATTTTGTTTATAAAAGCTGAGCCAAATAATTTTTTAATTACAATTCAACAAATTATGTGAGTGTGTGTTTTTAAAATTTTTTTAAATAATTTTTATCTATGTTTGAACTGCGAAACAATGTATGTTAAAATGTAGGAAAACAATCGAAATAGGCAAAAACGACTAAATAAATAAAATAAAAACGTTTAAAATTGATTTGTCCAAAAAAATAATGAAGGATATGAGAAAGGTATGCGAATTTTGATTAAAGTTGTTTATTAAAAATTTATGAGCTTAATTTTGTATAAAATTTTAAATATTC